TTTTAAAAAAAAAAAAAAAAAAAAAAAAAAAAAAAAAAAAAAAAAAAAAAAAAAAAAAAGAAAGAAATTCCCAAAGTTATGTTAAAATTACTAAAACAAATTGCTAAGGGGAAACATGATTTTGAAAAAGAGCTAAATTTCTATATCATATATTTAATCTCTCATCCAAAATCTATCATAAATCTCATCCAAAAATGAATATATATTAATGCTACATTTTTTTCAGAATCAGAATTCTTTCTTTTCCAACTGTATCACATTTCTAAGTATTTTTTTTGTCTTAAAATTATATTACCACATTGTAATTGTTCACTGCTCAAGGGCATTCCTGCTTTCAGAGATTTAACAAGGAAGTCATTCAGCAATTGAGGCCAGAGTGAGGTCTGGTTCCAAAAAGAGTTGGCTACACAGCACCCAGAGTCCAAGGTCTATTAATCTGCATAGAACATTTGATCCAAATGTATCACATTTATTAATGCCTTAGCTATAAAACAATCTTTAAAACTGGAATGGCTTTTGTTCTAATAGTCTACTAATTAGGTAGAATTCCTATATAATAATCAGATAATAACCAAAAGTGATGCCGCTAAGTATAAAAGTTGCTTTCGTTTATAGATTTCAAGTGACCAAACTATAAAAGTAATTAAATAGAAGATGTTCATAAACAGAAAGAAAATGACAACTTTGAATCTTAAAATATGTTCTTTAATGTGTCTTATTTTATTTTGCTTTGACAAAAAATATAATAAAAACATAATTTCAAGATATGGACTTCCAGTCAAGATGGTGAAGCAGACGGTCCGCAGCGTCACTCTCTCCCACAAATCAACCAATTTACAACTATAAAAAAGCAATAACAGCCAAGCTGGGGCTGCTAGAACTCAAAGGAAGAAGAGGAGAGACCTATGGAGTGCATGAAGGCAGGAGAAGCCACGATGAGAGAAAGAAAAAACTGTTCCAACCATTTCGAATGTTTGCTGCTTTCAGGCTGGAGCTGCTGAGTGAACAGAGCAGGAGCTGGCAAAAGCTGCTGCTGTGCCATTCAGATGAAGTTGCTTAGAAGCAGCAAGGGAGAAGAGGGCTTTAGTGGTCCCCAGGCCAGCAAGACCACTAACAGGGTTCTCGTGGACCCACATAGGAGCAAGGAGTCACAACTGAAAAAAAGGAGCTACTCAGAGGTCAGTGGGTCACCGCGAGGGACCAGTGCATGGCCCATCCCATGGGAAGTGTTTGGAGCACAGGCGGTGGGGGAGACAGGCCCACCAGGGGAACACTGGGGCACAGTAAGGACAGCTGATCTGCGCCCCAATCAGCATAGGACCACTCAGAGGAGACTGGTCAGGAATATAGAATTGCATGGGGTGCAGTTTGATGAAAAGACTCAGGCCCAGACCTGAGTTTCTACACAACCCAGGTGCACCAGATCTCACTAGACCCAGAAGTAACCTAAAAAGTCAAACATTAAAATCTGAGCTGCACAAAAAGCCTTCCCTAGGAAATCAGCAGCAAAGCAGCAATTTAGCTCAACCATACAGCTCAAGTACTGGTCCCCACAGGAAGTTCCCCCAAGTTAGAAGTAAGTAAAGGACGACAAATTAGTTCCAGAGCAGAGTTTGAGTGGTGAGAACAACAAATAATCCAACACAGAACTGAAAGAAAAAATGAAGCACCCACAACCAGAGACAAAGTTTGATATTAACTAGTAAAGGTCTCATTTCACCAAAGAACACCTGTAATACCTAGAAGGACCGGAAGTCCCTGGGCTACCAAGCCAGAAAGGGGGGAGGGCCAGGGCTTCAGCCATGCCCCCCCGACACCCGCACCCAGTCCCAAGGGTGGAGTCTCGGCCACACACCCCCAACACACGCAACCACCCTAGTGACAACCACCAAGTTGCAGCAGGAAGCAACCCAGGCTCTCCCAAGCCAGGGTGGTGGGGGGCTAAGGGCCTTGGCCACATCCCCCCAGGACCCACAACCAGCCCAGCAACAACCACCCAGCTGCAGCAAAAAGTCCTTGGGGCACTGGGGTGGTGGGCAAGGGCTTTTGCCACACACCCCTGACATCTGCACCCAGCCCAGCAATGACCAAACAACTGCTGGGAGCCCCCTGGTTTCACCTGTGGGAATGAGGGGGTGCCACAGGCCTCAATCCCACCCCTCCTCCTTCCTCCATCCCATTTCCATCTTCCCCTCTCCCCCTCCCTCCCAACTGCCCCACAACATCATAAAATGTAAAAAATAATATTAATTTTTTAAAAAAGAAAAAAAAACAATTTCAAAACATATAAATATAATTTATATATTTCTGTTTCATAAACTATCCTACAAAACAGACAGAAAAGCCTTGAACCACTATTTAACAACTGAAAAGATATTTCTTAAACTTGTACATCAGTCTATGTGTGTGTAGTCAAGCAAATTTGTATGAGTCTACCTTAAGAAACATTACTTCTTCATATATAGGAATTTGCAATAAGACCAAAGAGAATTGATAAAAAATAGATAATATTTAACCTCTGTGGATTTTCTAATTTCCTGAAAGTGTCAGGAAGATGCTTGGCCAGATCCATCACCTCCTCAGAGATAGAAGTCAACTGTTTCTGCACGTCACTAAGTAGGATTTCCTTCTCTGGGGAAAAAAAAAAAATCAATATTTATTTTCAAGCTACAAAGCAGAGACATTTATTTAGCCACTTCATTAAATAGTATTAGGGCTCCGTTTTTCATTTTCTTTTCTTAAATGAATTCTCACAATCCCCAAATCACTTCAGTTACCTTATTTCCCTTTCAAATTTTTGCTGTTTAAATTTTAGAATAAATTCCAAATGATCTGCGTTCATACATGTTATAATCCAGTGGTTACTGACCAAGGAAGGAGAAAGTAGAAATGAGAATCTGAACCCTCCTGTACTATTTCAATATCAGAAATCAATATAACACCATGTGGGCTGCTACTTAATAATACTTTGGTAAACAAAACCTTATCCAGCAGTCATTCCTCATTGCCCTCATTATCAGTCATTGCCAAAATAAAATGCATGCTTTCTAATCAGTGATCATCTTCCAAATTCTCAACTTCATTCTCTCTGGTACATCATCCTCCATCAACAACACAAAACCTGCCCTCCTTACACAAACCCTTTACCTGCTTGGAATATCTTCATCACTTCTCTTGCCCTTCAAAAGGTCCAGTTCCTCTGAAGCATATGACATAGGACTACATAACCTGTTATCCCTGATTGTTATAGTTATCTTGTGATCTCAAAATCACATCCTCCATTTGTTGAACATTTTAACATCTGACTCATTAACTGTCTTTCCCTCCACTACTAGTGATTTAAACATCCACAAAGACGTTCCATCCAAAAGTATGCGCTTTTCAATTCCTTGACCCCTTAATGTCCAACAACCTTTTCCTCAACTGACCTCAGCCACTCATTACCATAGTCATATCCTTGACCCTGTAATTGCCAATAAAATCACCACTTCCAAAATCCAACTGTAAACATTCCACCCTCTGAACACCAGCGTGCCTGTCTTTCTTTCCAGCATGCTTACACCAGTGCAACAATTCTTCGACACTTTCAGAACCAAATCCCTTGACCCTCCCACCTTTTCTTTATGCATTATCCTCCCCATTCCCACTCCCACATAAGTAACATGTCTTACTTTCCTTTCTTGCTTACATTATAGTAATCATTCCTTTGTATATATAAACTCTCAACTCCTTTGCTCTTCACCTCCCTCTGTGGTACTCACCTGGCAAAGCCCCTCTTCTAATTAACCCTCGCTTTTTTCCTACTTGACATCTACACCAAAGCAGGTGAATACAGTTGAAAATAAAACACAACTATGATGACTTATTTCACTTTAAATTTATGATACAGATCTCAAATGAACCCTCTGTACTGTTAACTTCTACATTTCCTGCTTTCCCACTCTCAAGATGACTATTTCACACCTTTTCATTTTTCTTAAGCCTCCAAAACCTGCTTGTCCCTCCTTTTACTCAAGAAACAACTTCCCTTCTTATTTCACTAAGAAAATAGAAACAATAAGAGAACTACTTCATCTTCCCACCCCATCCCGTCTGCTAATTAGTCTGTGTTCATATCTCTACTCCCATTTACAGCAAAGTTCCTTGAAAGAGTTGTCCATACTCACTGTCTCCAAGTTTCTGCTCCCATTTTCTCTTAAATCAACTCCAATAAGTTTCACCCCCCGCCCTCAGTGCAGTAAAGCTGCTTTTGGAAGGGTTACTGATGGCCTCCACACTGTCAACCCTAATTGTTCATTATAGATCATCTCACTCAAACTCTCAGAGATTGAAAACAGTTGATAATTTCCTCCCACTTAAAACACTTTCTTCACAAGCTTCTGAACACACTTCCTGTTCATCCTTTCATTGGTGCCCCTTCTCAGTCCTCTTTGAGCCTCTCTCATCTTCTGACCTCTGAATGTTGGTGTACCCTTGATGTCAATACCTCTTGTTTGCTACTTCATTCACTCCCTATTTTATCCCATGCAATTTCACTGCTTTACCATTTGAATGCCTATGATTCTCAAAAATTACCTCTCCAACCTCAACCTTACCCCTGAACTGCTAAATCACATTTCCAACTAAGATATCTTCTTGGATGTCAATAAACTTCTAAAATTTAGCATGTTCAACATTGAAATCTAGCTTTTTTTCTCACCCAAACCTATTCTTCCCAGAATCTTGCACTGTAACTGACCCTTCCATTCATCAATTAATCTGACCAAAATATCTCAATTGTTCTATCAGTTGCTATATTATCTGACCACTTACAGAGAATTCATCAGTAAATCCTTCACAATATATACCTTCAAATATCTACAGAATCTACCACTTCTCACCACTTCTGTTGCTACAAGCCTAACACAATTATAATCTCTTGCCTGGATTATTATAATAGCCTCCTAACTCCCTGCCTGAACTCCCTACCTAATACTTGTTCTCTGACAGCAGCCAGAAAAATCCTTTTAAAATAAAAATTTAATCATGTCATTCTGCTTCAAACCCTCTAAGGGTTTCCCTTCACACACCATCACATTTATTTTCATTAATAAAACATGAAGTCAGATCCACAACCTACAAGACTCTAAATGATCTGGCCCAAGCTACTTTTCTAGCCTCCTTTCCTACCACTCTTACCCTTACTCATTTTGCTTCCATTCTCCTCACTGTTCCTCAGACAAGGCAAGCACTGACCCTCAGAGGCTTTGCTCTTTCTTTCTTCTAAGACTGCTATGCTCTTCCTTCAGATATCCATATGGCTTGCTCCCATGCTTCAATCAAACGAAATAAAGAGGCTTGGTCTGTTTTGTTCAGTGGATTTTCCCCAGCAACTGTAACAGTGCATGGCACATAATAAACACTCAACGAATATGTTATATGAATCAATGAATATTCTTTTTCCAAACCAAGCTTGTAAAAAAGGCAGTTTACATATTATTTAGATCACATTCCTTAAATCTAACTTCTCTTCTGTTCACATTAATTGGATCCCATTACTGCACTCTTGCTATGGTTATAGTAACTTCATGTTACTGAAGCCTGTGAACACTTTTCTGTTTTAAGAGCATGTGACCCAAATGACCACTCTCTCCTCAAAACACTCTTGTCACCCAGTACACCAAAGCTACTGCAGTAAAAGGCTATAAATAATTGCCACATTGCCAAACCCAATGATTAATTCTAAGTCCTCAGTTCCTTAGACTCTCAGTAGAATTTAAAAGTTGGTAAAGTCCTCCTACTCAAAACATGTTCTTCATTTGCTCTCTGCATACCACACCTCCTAATTTCTTTCTACACCTATGGCAACTCCTTTGGTGTCTCCTCCTCCACACAAACATTAAACACTAAGGGTTCCTCAAGACTCCTAGTCCCAATTCTTTAACTCCTACTATCCTCTGAGTTAAAACCTATATATTTAAGTGCCTACTGGCCCTCTCCACTTTGATATCTTATAGGTTTCCCTCCTTTAATATACATAAAATCAACTGTATGACTCCTCATCCCCAAATCTTGTTCTTCCTTGTCAATGTTTTTCATCCCTGCTGCTTATGCCAACAACACAAGAATGATCCTTGATCCATGTCTCTCATCGTTACCTCAAATTCTCTTGATTCTACTGCTCTATTAAATGTATTTTGAATCTATCCACTTCTCTCCATCCTCAATACAAATAATCAATGCAAGTTATCATTACCTCTCACTTGGATTAGAGTCAGCCTCCCAAAAGGTCTTCCCACCATGACTTGCCCTCCTACAATCCATTTTCTACTCATTTTTGTGTGTTTTTTGTTGTTATTGTTGTTTCTAATGTAATTCATTTCACTCCTATGTTTAAAACCTTCAATAGCTTCAATTCCACTTAGTAGGAAATGCAAACTCCTTAACACAGTTCATGCTGTCCTTGTTCTACTTCTCCTTCATCACTCACTCTGTCATGCTCAATGCTTCACCATACTGAACTAATTTCAATTGCTTAGAGATATCATGAACTCTCTTACCTCTGACACTTCGCACCTGCTGTCTCCCATGTCTACGACACTTTCCCCTTACTCTTCAGCCAGCTAACTCCTCGTCCTATTTCAGGTCTTGCCTTAAACATCACTTCCTCCAGAACATATTCTCAAGTATCTCCAAATACGCACTGGATGCCTCTTCTGTGTGCTGACTACAACACTTTGTTTTCCCATGCCATAAGACTCATCTTCCTATGCTGCAATTGCTTTTTTTCACTCATCTATATCCCCCATTAAAACTGTAGTTCACTCAGGAAACAGATCGTGCCTGTCTTGTCCACTATTGTATTCCCATATCATAAAGTGTTCAACAATATTTAATAAATGAATAAATACATATTTAACTACTGTATCATTTAGTGTTTATCAGCTACCATCTTGGGAATAAATCAATATTTTAACAGTGAGAAACAACGTGCAAATATACTTTAATTTCCTGAAGTTATAATTTACTTTTTATCCTTTAATGAAAAGAAAAACACAATCTTATAATACAAACCAAAAAAGCAGCCATGTGAAAATATCATCCACATACTCATCAGGGAAATTAGAGAATAGTGAGGCTGATACCTCTGCCTTAACAGTGGGAAGGAAGGAAGAGAAAATGGAAGGAGAAAGGAAAAAAAAGATGGTAATCCTCACTGGAATCTGAGTCAAGTTACTTCACTTCATGTGTCACAATATACTCACACATATAATGTAATAGAAGGAAAAATGTGAGGGTCAAAGAATTAGCATTACAACAAGTACACAGATACCAATACTGACTTATTAATGTTTTTTACTTTAGTGAACAATATCTTAAACATTTCTAGGAAGCATTTTCATCAGATACAAAATTTTAAGTGTAACCTACAAGCAATTCTGCAAACTATGAAATCAGAAAATCATGAATCTTCCCTGTTGAATTTCATTTCTGAGTTAAATAAATTATTATATATTATTCTTCAAATCAGCTTCAAAACATATCATCTGCCTCACTTAATCAAGATAATTTCTAGCCACAGTATCTCTGGCTACAGAGAATCAGCAGGCACTCATCACAAGTGGCCTTCCAGGGAGAGAAAGTAAGTATAAAGAATCTTCTACCTTAACATGTAAAGAAGCAGGGTCTACCTCAGAGGGTGAATCCCTTCTCAATGACAATTATAAAGGATAGTATATAATGTTATATGAGGAGATCATGCCATATTTTTAAGTGTATTTAGCAAAATTGCCTAATTTAATTAACATCTTAACAAACACAATTATTTAAAATTTCCAAAAGGAAGCTACAGGAATAGTAATAACAACTCTACATATATCATTATAGTTACTTTGAGTATTTTGTTCCTTTTAGTGTTCAACTATTCTATGAAATGGATATTATGCTATTATCCACATCCCAAACCTGGGGAAACAGGTATATCGCAGGTCACCTGGCTAACATTCCACCATTGGTCTATGTAACACAAAAGCTGTGCTCATCCATGCTATCACCTGGCCCCTTCTATCACTGACCTATCAAAACATCTGAGAAAGGCACTACAGTTGAATGAAGTGGCCATCCTTTTTGGAGAAAAACAGAGGAGGAAATTTAGAAATTTAAACCAGTACACTGTAAATCATCTTATATACTTTAAAGCACTATATATAAAGCATTTAAAATATTTATAGCAAGGATGTACATAATTTCCAGACTGGGAGAAAGCTAGGTGATGTTATCAAAGCCACAAAGCCACAACTCTAGAAGCCTAATGAACAGCAATTCTACAAAGTAAAAGTAGTAAGTCCTGCTTTGCCACAAGTACACTACCTGAAACCCTAGAATCGGCCTTTATTGACCTCACCCTAATGTCAACACTTTTCAGACATTCAAGAAGTTGTAACACTAAAAACTTTGCAAATAATGTGATTATTGTCTCTTAGGAGATAAACCTCACAAAAGAGCCAATTTACATAGTATGTTTTATTTTTAGATCATAACATACCTTTATTTACAGCAAAAACTTGCACGGCATCACCCAAAATTTCCAACTTTTGATAAATGATGAAACCAGCCTATAGCAAAACAGAAAAATGAAAAAAGCATGCTGAAGATAACCAAATAAAACTATATGTCCCATCTTTAGAAAAAACCAAGAGAATGATTCCGAAAGAACCCAAAACACTGAATTCAACCTACTGTATTACACAGAGATCTATATGTCTTCATTTAATCACCACACCAATTATAACAATAGAGAAAGTAAGGTGCTTAAGTCTTAAAAGTTTAAGTCTTCACTTTTTTTAACACCCAATATTACAAGCAGGTATCTAAATCAAATCACTATAAATGGAATACAATGAAATACAATCTTGTAAGAGAAATACATTTTGTTTACAGATATCCACTTCCATTTCACTAAATCAGCTGAGAATGGTTGTGTATGAACAGTCCTCCTAAGTACTATTTACAGGAACAATCAAATCACACTGATGTTTCATGAACTTGTGCTAGTTCTCAACAAGTTTTGTGATTTTTTAAAAAGGAAAATTATCACACTATTTCCCTGACAAAAACAAGTTTCATTCTGGCTACAAACCAAAGAAGTTTCCATTCCTAAAAACAGATGCAAAAAGGGAAACAAGATAATCAATCTACAAATAAAAATATAAAATAGAGGAAAAGAAATTTACTGTGGAATAAAATACATTTCCTAAAAAAAAAACACAGTAGTGCTAATATGTAAAGATAAGCCCAGATTCACTACATACAAACATATAAATATGAAAATATATTGAACAGCAGCAGCAAGCTAAATTTGAAGGTTACTTTCCTAAATTTTCACATTTTAAATATAATTGTAAGAAATAAGTCCAGTTTCAATATTGAAACTATCTTGTAATTATTTTTATTCTGAAGTTGCTTATATATCAAATACATCATCAATACCTGTGCTTGCTCAGCCTGGGCTTATTAGGCTTTCATGTTTTCAGCAAGTTCACATTTTTTTATACACAATTTGGACATTATGTTGGCCTCATAACAATGAAAATACCTAGAATTGAACAATCTGTTAATATTTGCTAATTAATATCAAGAATTAAGTTTCATTAAATGCCAAACTGAAGGTTGAGATTGTGCCACCACCACAATAAAATTTTTCTAAAGTAATTTATGATACAGTTTAAAAAATACATCACAATCTAAAGATTTTAAGCACATACATAAGCATCAGTGGCTGCATACAGTTTCTGGTCCTCGGTGAGAGGAAAATTACTCCAATTGCTACAGCGGATAGACTTGTCTTTCAGAAGCTGTTTGCCAAAGAGGTGTTTAACCAGACCATTGAGGCTCCAGGTCTCTGTACATTTCAGCTAAAAGTCATGAAAAATCAGAGGAAAAATTATTTCCTTCTACTTTCAGATATCTCTAAACACCACCAAATGACAATGTCACAAATAAAACTGGAAATATTATACCAAAATACAACCCACCAATAGCCCTCAATAAACTTCCTGTCACTAAAAACCTCATTTGCAGTCCACACCATAGGAATTCAATCCTGGAATTACCTCCATTTGTAGGTATTAGAATTCTTGGACTTTATAAATAACGTTCATGTGAAAAAGTTGAATAGGTTAGTAGGCTTTCTACTTCCCAGCCAACTGAATCCTTGGCTAAATATGAGAATTTAATATAATGACTTCATTAATAAAATATGTGAAATATGGGAGATAGAACTGATGGTCAAATTTCCACTAAGAGCATTATACCACAAAAGCTACATTATGCTTTCCCTTTAAAGAAAAAAAAAGTTATTGGTATAAATGGATTAAAAAGACAAACTGAAAATACAATATTTAAATTTGCAAATACATGCTACAAAGTGAAATAGTACCAACAATTGAGAGGAAGGGAGGGAAGAGTACCTGCTTAAAGAAACTGTATGCCAAGAAAATGGATTAGAACTGAAAGTTTTCATTATGGAATATTCACTTGGAACTTCTTTATTGCTACAAAAACGTTATATAGCTTAAATTACTTTTTCAAAAAAATCTAACATTCAGATAGAAGAAACATTCTGTGAGACACAAAATTATCTATAAAAATACTATATGTATTACTTCTACCTTTTCATTGGCAACATCTGTCAACTCCACAAAACTCTTCAATTTGATGTCAAAGTCACGAAGAAGTTTCCACTGATCTCCTTCAATTCCTACACCTGCCTTTTTAATTGCTTTATTTTCAAGCAGGATTTTTAATCCCTGGGGGAAAACTGTAACAATTTATTGTTATTTCCATAAGTTCTGCCAAGTATGACAGATTAATTTTCTACTTCTTATACATACCATGTTTATGTTTAAATTTGTGTTTATGTTAAGCTTAAATTCAGAAACATATTCACCTTGAGTATTTCTTTTCTTACCTAAAGAAAAAGTCCTGATTGATAAATGACAAGAAAAAACAACTAGTTTGAATGCCACCTCTGCTCATACTAGCAGTATATTCCTAGTCATTTAACTGCTCTAAATATCAGTTCTCTCTTCTCTATAATGGGAGAAATATCAATGCCTCACAGGGATGTTGTGAAAATTAAATAAAACAGGGGATGTGAACAAATCAGGTGGGACATGAATACTTAAATAAATGTAAGATGATGAGAGAAGTGCCAGCAAATGAAAGAGCCTAATTTTATAGGGATAAAGTTGACATATTACAATTACCAGCCATATTAAAATGAAACAAAAAAAGAGATACCAACCTGACATAGAAGAAATATGAAACAAGTAACATTTGCTCTCAGACACACACAACTGAATTAGCGCAACTCTGTCTAGTTTCCCTTTATTGTATGTTGGTGGCCATTCCATGTCAAATCCTACCACATCTCCATCAGAGAGACTCATGCTAAAGGGGGGAAAATAGTTTAAATTAATTACATTAAAATTTTAAACTTCCACATAACTAAAGACATCATTCAAAAATTAAAAGACAAACCACAAACTGGTAGAAGATCTGTGATACATACAACTGATAATGAATAGCCAAAAAAATCTCAAATTCCTTGAAAAATAAGTTAAAAAGACAAATAATGCAGCAGAAAAATGGAGAAAAACAGAAACCGGTCATTTTAAAAGGAAATACAAATAAATATGTGAAGACACTGATTCTCACTAGAAATCAGAGAAAAAGCAAATTAAATCTACAAAATTTCACATCTATGTGACTGGCAAAAATTAAAGCCTCACAATATCAAGTGCTGAGAAAGATTATTGGTGGGAATGCTCAGTACTGCTGAAAGTATAAACTGGTAAAATCCTCTTGGAAAAAACTTTGACAATAACTGGTTGAAGCTGCATAAACACTATGACCTGCCAATTTCTCTCACAAATATATGCAACTCTCATATGTGTACAAAGAGGCAGACATGTTTAAGAATGTTTATGTTCACTGTAACATTATTCCTACAGGCAAAAAATTGGAAACAAACTAAATTTCTATCAACAAGAGAATGAATCTATTGTGGCATAGTGACAGTGTTGTATCACATAAAAGTTAAAATAGAACTACATAGATCAACAAAAAAATTTATCAAAAACGTAAGGTTGAATGAAAAAGTTGCAGAGTACACATATAGTTCAATAGCATTTTTACAAGTTTTTCAATGGGCAAAATAATATATAATATTAGGGGTATATAACTGTGAATATTATAAAAAACATGAGGGAACACTAAACAACTCATGATAGAAGTCATCAAAGGAGAGCCCAGGGGGGAATCAGAAAGGATATATATGAGGCTTCAGATGTATTTTATTGTTTCATTTCTTATTAAAAATTTGAAGAAAATGAATATTAAGACTTGATAGGGGCTAGCTGGTTAGCTCAGTTGGTTAGAGTGAGGTTCTGTAACACCAAGGTCAACAAGGTCAAGGGTTCAGATCCCACTACCAGCCGGCCACCAAAAAATAAAAAAAGATCTGATAAAGCTAGATGGGAGAAATATGAGTATTTATTATATTACTATCTATTATTGTTTCTATTTGCCTATTTTGCAATTTATTTTAAATTAAGTATATATTTAAAAAATAAAAGAAACTCAACTTCTGCTTCAGGCCAAGATGAATAACAGTGACCAGATTAACTCCTCAATGTGTTCAGTAGGTCTACATATAACATCTTAAGTATTAAAAGTCAAAAAATTATCTAAAGTAATAGAAAACCGTCCAAATTAACCAATACATATATTTCAAATTTCTTAGTACCACGTATATATCCAGATAAAATAAAATCAGTATGGTGAAAAAATACCTGCACTCCTGTGCTCACGGTAGCACTATTCACAATAGCTGAGAGATGGAAATCCTAAACATCCCTCAACAGATGAATGGATGAAAAAAATGTGGTATATATACACAATGAAATATTAAGCCATAAAAAAGGAATTACTGCCATTTGTGGCAACCTAGAGACCATTATGTTAACTGAAGTAAGCTAGGCACAGAAAGACAAATTCTTCATGATCTCATTCATATGTGGAATCTAAAAAAGGGGTTCTCATAAAGAAGTAGAAAACAGAATGGTGGTTACCTGAGGCTGAGGATGGGAGTGGGGAATGAAGAGAGGTTGGTCAAAGGATACAAATTTACAGTGAGAAAGGAAGAATAAGTTTTGGTGTTCTAGGGTGACTACAGCTAATAATATTGTATATTTCAAGATAACTAGAAAAGAAAATCTTGAATGTTATCACCACAATAAAGGTACAGGTAATAAATATGCTAAGTACCCTCAGTGAATCATTATACAATATATGCATTTATTAAAACAATACACTGGACCCCATAAACATGTACAATCTTAATAATAATAAATTTTAATTTGGTGATTTCATTTTTTTTTTTTTAGTGATTTTACTTTTTATTTTAAAAGGAGACTAGAACTTAGTGATAGTCTATAGGTAGAAATACTTACCTATTTAACACACCTCAACTATAAAACTCAGTATACTTAAAATCATTACCATAATAGTTACAATCATCTAAGGATCTAAATTCAAATGAAATTAGGGATAACACCAAGGTCAAGCATTTGGATCCCTGCACCCACAAACCACCAAAAAAAAAAAAAATTTTTTTCCAAATGAAATCAGGAAATTCAAATTTCTTACCTAATATCTTCTGATAGAAAAGAGCAATCACTAGCTTCATAACTATACACAATAGATCCAGTGAATTCTAAGAAGGGGAGGTCATCTTCAAAAACACTCTTCTGTATAGATGCCTTAAGTTAAATAAAATTCGAAATATGCACAAATAAAGTATACATTAGATAGTAAGTGTTCACTGAAATATAAAGTTCACTGAAGCATTCAATTTATAGTTCAAAGTTTTACCAACTAATGCTTTACAGACTAATGAAGTCATAAGGACAATTAACAAAGATACTGCCATCACACTGTAAACTTACTTTTCCTGGAAAGTTTGTTTTCAAACTTCTAATCCTATTTTCACAAAAGCATTTATTCTACTGAGTTTTTTTTTCTGACAATTATATTAGAATTCTAGGTGTAATAATGTTGCCTTAAAATGCTAAAGACTGGTTGGTGGATCTTAAATCTATGAGGATTTAAACTGGCTTAACCAAAAAATTCACCAGAATTAATGCTGTCTAAATTCTTATCTGAATTACAACAAACATGTAAAGTCAACTATGAAAATTAGATATAAAATGTAAACAGTAAGAATCCTCATTTTGTAAATTAAAATTTATTTCCATTTACCCATTCAAGAACTAGATTCTGGTTCATTCACACAACAGCAACTCTGACCTAAATAACGACCTGAAGTTTACAAGTGAGGTTTGACTCATTATACAGTCAAATTTAAATTAAATTTCCCATCTGAAAGAATAATCAACGAACAACATACCTTTCTTTCTTCTACAGCACATCTTTCATTCTGCATAGACATCCACTCAGGAAATTTACGCTGCTGTGGAGCTGTTTCCAATTTTATTTCACTCATCTTTAAAATGCCCTAGTAGAAAAATCAAAAAAATGATGACTTTAGGAGTAAATACAACACAGTCTTTGAAAGAAAACTCCGAGATAACCTGTCAATACGACTGAAAAGTAAATGTACATATTTAAATTTTGGCATCTGGGCCCAGGTATAGATTTAGGAGCTAGAATTGGAAAAGAAAAAGAAATGAATACAATATGCTAGATCTAATGACTATACAATTAGTATTTCTTCCTTCTAAAACAAGTTAGGCATTTTAATTGAGTTCTAAGGTTCTGGCAGTTTCAAAATTCTATTATTCTATGATTCTGATCCTTTCAAAGAATAACCTTTACCTCATTAACAACGAGAATACTTGGGTGTATAAATTATTATAGATTGTTAGACGTCTTTAATTTTCTGTATGATTATCACTAAGCTCTAAGTAAACTCAGCAAAAATGTTAGATTTATTCAGAATCCTACTTGAAGATTTAATTTTGAAGACAGATAACAGCTCTTCTCTATTAAGGGGTTTTTATTATGCTCTCGGCCTAGTATCTGAACAAGTTTCCCTAAGAATAAAAGTTTCTTAGAGGATTTTTTAAAAATCTGTTACTACCTTATCAATGTAAACCAAACTCAAGTATAGTTAAAATGAACCAGGACATATTCTTTTTGTTCATGGTAAAATGGATCCATACCCTGATGTGACTTTTACTATGGATTTTTTAAAAATCTGTTACTACCTTATCAATGTAAACCAAACTCAAGTATAGTTAAAATACTGAATAAGAGAACCAGGACATATTCTTTTTGTTCATGGTAAAATGGATCCATACCCTGATGTGACTTTTACTACACTGAAGTAACCTTAACTTCTTAGGAAATTCCTCAAACATCAACCTTAGTTCCTATTATCTCCAATTTCTAATAAGGGGTTAACAGTTTTGAATACACACCTGAAGATTCTCCTAATAAAACATGATGTTAATATTAAATAATCACAGTAACTATTTATGATTTAGGGATAGCCTGTTATATTTGATATTCAGCAATATAAACTGAAGAAATTAAACAATATCTGGCAAGTATCCATTTTAATTGTTCATTTTCCTACGCATGAACCAAAAACTGAGAATACTGCTAATTTATTGAATAAAAAATTTGAAATATTACTTTATCAAACTTAGATTCTCCATATAGAACAAATTCCATTGCTCTTATGCATTGGGAAGGGAAGGGTTAACAGCAGGCTTGTAACATACTCCTATGGCTGCTTAACTTCCTGTAGAAGTTAAAAAACAAAAACAACTTCCTTTGTGCAATGCTTCTGCACACATTGCTCAAAACTAGTCTGTTAATCCAAAGCCATAATGTGTCCTAATGCAGGAGATGAAGACATTTTTGAAACTCGTTTCTTACAGTTTGGGACTCCTCCAAAAAAAAGAATGTCCCATCTGCACATGGTGCTTGCCTATATTCTTTGAATCATTAGCAAAGTTTGGCATTGGGTAAGATGTATATGATTCACTGAATCAGAACTGATAACTCAATTCCTGGTGTTACCACATGCATTATATATAAAAAGATAAAATATGTAAAATATACACGTTATTAACTGCAAAGCATTTTTCAAATCTTGGTGTGTATTAATAAGTTTATGTTTGCCACAAATTCAAACCCTTGACATTAGAAGTCAAAAGATCTCAAACTGTATATATATGATCTGTTCTTAATTTTAAAATATGTTTATAAAACTGGAAAACAAGTTTCTTCTATACCCAGAGTAGATCATTGGTAAAATGCCAGAAAACAGAGATTTCTGCAAATAACACAACTCTATTAAAACACCTATACAACTCCGTAATTTTGTAAGTAATTTACTTACACTCTCAAAACAGAAATAATATAAACTTCAGTAACTCTTCCCTCCTATTCCCAACACTAAAATCATTTTGCTTTGAAATTTCTCATTTTTAGATGTAAACACTTTTTCACACAAAATTCTATCTAGATGATTTGAAGCAAAGAGTTTGAAAGAAATTTGTTCATAAACTAACATCTTTGTCAAATTTACTCAGATCTTGAGAAAGATAAAAAGCATACAGAAAATTAAAGTTGTAAAATAATTTGCAATAGGAAGATCCTGAGGATTTTAATTCTTAATCAGATAAAGGTTATTCTTGGAAAGGATCAAGGTCACAGCACAAAGTAATTTTTATTTACATATTTATCAGCTATGTTGTTGAGTATGAACAACTTTGACACATCTTTTCTAAAATCACATCTTTTGTCATTTCATAATGCTTCATGTTGTACTTTTAAAGGATCTTAAATTCCTCTTTGACATAAATACTGTATTTTAATTGCTTTGGTTTGGACTTCTCCTGAAATCATCTTGCCTATCTATCTACCATCTACAACTTTTCAACCTTTATCGCTATTGTAAAGGCAGTCTGGGATTTTTATTGTTGCTTTGTTGTTTATTTTTGGCTTTTATTTTGAATAGTCCAATCTGAACATGTCTGTCTTTTGGTAGGGAATTTCATCTCACTCACAGGCAGTATAAGAATTTGAGTTTTCCTTTTCACCTTACTTTGATTAGTCTTTATCTTACTTCAGTTTCCTTTTTTTCATTTTCCATTTTTTCTGATTGTAAAATTATCATTATTAATGTTAAAATATATATTAGGTTTTATGCTACTATTATTAATGTATTATTATTAATGTTAAAATACATATTAGGTTTTACGCTACACTGCACTCCTGATCAAGACTTTTTAACAATATTTTCTTCAAATTCAAAGAAGCTTTGTTGGCACAAGTGGTAGCAAACAGCAAAAGAAGAACCTTTGCTCCAGTAGACCTGAAGTCCTTTTTCACCATTAGCCAGTATTCCAACAATTCAATCTCTTTAAATCTTATTCAAGGGTACAAAAATTCTTTAAATCTAATAGCTTCATTTCTTTAACTAAGAAATATGTTAATTCCTACTAATGATATACGTAAGCTTTGAATACAATTGAATTTTTTTATATCAAGTATTTCAAAATAATACTAAACCTTTGTCTCAGACACACTGACTTTGCTCTACTAGTACTATTAATTCGGCTTGTTTCCGTAGTGTAGTGGTTATCTCGTTCGCCTCACACTAGTACTATTAATTCTTCTTTAGGATTCAGATAACACCAGTTAAACATCACCTCTAAAACCATTTTAACTTCACTTTTCCAAAACTAAATTTTTGTTCTAAATCCATAAACTTCATCAGTACATGTTAATATATTTTCCACACAATCATTGCATTTTTTTAAAATTTTTACTGAATCAAAATTGATTATACATATTTTGGGGGTTCGACATTGAGATATGTTCATCAAATCAATATTACTAGCATATATATTGTTATAAATCATAATTATTCTTTATGCCCCTTGTCCAATCTCTCTTCATTCCTCCTTCCTCCCCCCCTAATTACCCTAGATTTCTTCTCTCTGTCTTTAAGAATAATGGTTACTCTGTTGATTTGCTGTCTAGATGATCTGTCCAATGCTGAGAGATGTGGTCAGTCCCCCAATATTATCATAGAGCAGATGTTTCCTCTGTCACTCTGAAATGGGCTTTGTGGAGAGAGACGTCCTCTTCTCTTTTTTTTCTCTGCTGGTGACTCTCTTTGTGTCAATGCATCCAGTGGTTGGCGGACCATCTGCGTGGTGGTTGTGGCATCTAGGTACTTTCGCAGCAGCCATGGTTATAGTGGTGGCTGTGGTGGGCCAACCACATGGAGGTGATGTTTTTGGCATGCTCCTTTGTGCTGGGCAGTGTGCCTGGTTATGGCAGGTGTCCATCCCCAGCTTCAAGCCTCAGGACCCAGGCAAGCCCCGAGGCACTGGCATGGTGTGCCTGGTTGTGGGAGAGTAGTCGGGTCCTCAGATCCATGCCTTGGGACCGAGCAGGCCCCGAGGTGCGGTGCAGTGCACCTGGCTGTGGGAGGGGGGTCCAGTCCCCTTCTCCATGCCTTGGGTCCCCAAGCAGGCCCTAAGGAGCTGGTGTAGTGTGCCTGGTTGTGGGAGGGGGGTCCAGTCCCCTTCTCCATGCCAAGTCCCCAGGTGAGCTCTGAGGTGCTGGCACAGCGTGCCTGGTTTGCAAGGGAGGTCTAGTCCCTGGCTACATGCCCCAGGCCCCTTGGTGGGGCCCCGAGGTGCTGGCAGTGTGCCTGGTTGTGGGAGTGGGGTCGGGTGCCCAGGCAGGCCCCAAGGCACTGGTGGTGTGCCTGGGCTGGAACTAATTTTCTGATTTTGCTTACTTCTAAAATGGGGGAGCTTTCTGTGGGAACCAGTAGTTGAGCTGTGTGGTTGCTAAATTGCTGCTTTGCTGCTGTTTCCCTCGGGAAGGCTTTTTGTGCAGCTCAGGGTTTAATGGTTCACCTTATAGGTACTTCCAGCTCTCCAGAGACCTGGAGTATCTGGGTTGTGTAGAAACTCTGATCTGGGCCTGAGTTTTTTCATCAAACTGCACCCCACGTAATTCCGCATTCCCGACCAATCTCCTCTTAGTGGTCCTGTGCTGACTGGAGGACAGATTGGGTGTCCTTGCTGTGTCCCAGTGTTCTCCCAGTGGGCCCATCTCCCCTGCTGCCGTGCTCCAAACAATTCCCATGGGATGGGCCCTGTGCCTGTCCCTTGTGATGATTCACTGGCCTCCAAAAGGCTACCTCTTTTCAATTGTCTGGCTTTTTGCTTCTGTATGGGTCCACGGGGAACCCTGTTAGTGGTCTTGCTTCCTGGGGGCTGCCAAGGCCCTCTTCTCCCCTGTGGTCTCCAAATAACTCCATCCAAAGCGTACAGCTGCAGCTTCTGCCAGCTCCTTCTCCGTGCGCTCATCAGTTCCAGCCTTAAAGCAGCCATGGCACAAAATGCTCAGAGCAGTTTTTTCTTTCTCTCATCGTGGTTCCTCCTGCCTTCATGAACTCTGTAGGTCTCTCCTCCTCTTCCCCTGAGCTCCAGTGGCCCCAGCTTGGTTGATGTTACATTT